ACAGATCAATCTATATCTTTATAAGTAATATAAATCAATCTGCTACCTTCAACTTTTGCTTTTCAGCAACCGATTAAGTCAGATTAAAAGTTTTTATAATTTTGATAATGTGCTTGAATTAAATTTAATAAGAAATAATGCAGATTTTATTTAACACTGACACGTTTCATGTTGAGTGTGGGTGTGGGTGTTAAAATGCATCGATATCCACATCCACCCACATCCACACTCGCACTCACACCCACACCCACACCCACACCCAAACCCACACCCAAACCCACACCCACACCCACATCCACACCCAAACCCAAACCCACACCCACACCCACACTCACATCCACACCCTGCCGATTCTCAGACAAAGCGATTGTTGGCTTAAGCGAAAACTTATAAATTTCGGTTTCAATTTTGATTTCTTTCAAACTAAATTACTAACAGAAGAAAGCAGTCAAGTTCTAGCTAATAATTGAAAATATTGAAGAATCGATTCAGATGGAATTAGAAGATTTAGATGACGTTTGATTGAAGGTTGTATAAATATTCAAATCACATACATCGCCGCATCATTGTGGTACTAGACCGCTGACAGTTCGTATGAGGGAAAGTAATTTGATGATATGCTCTTCAGGTCGACGACCAAGTCCGCATTCTGTGCTAACTCCGAATCCTTTGACTACTTCTGCTGCGGCATCGATACGTTTCTTGGCACCTTCTTCACCATCTGTAAGATGAACGAGACCAAGAAACAACTGTGTTTGATGACACGCGAGTAGAGGAATAGCAAGTTGAAGAGGAGCAAAGTATGCTACGTCGTCACGAGAGCGAGGGACAGGTAGATGAAGATAGGTCAACGGTCGATTTAGGCGAGATATCAAGCCCATCGCAATGTCGACCATTTTAGACATGTTCACTGGCTCTTTGAAATGTTTGTGGCCAGCATCGCCTATACAAAATGTGACTCAATTATGATAAGAAGTAGTGACAAAAGCCAAGAGCTTACCATAGCAAAGATGGATTCCGAATTCGACTCCATCTGGTACAGCATTTCCAAGCCTAGCAAGCCGTTCAACTACTTGAAGAAGTTGTTCTTCATAGTTTGAACCAAACCATGAAGAAGTTAATCCTTCCAAAATTGCGATTTCCCAGCACACATCCAACTGAATGGCAAGTTTGTCGTTTGGAACAAAGTCTAATATTTCTTTTAGTTCTGTAAGAAGCCGAGATTCATACGACCGTTCAAGTTCATCGTGATAATTTGTAACAAAAGCTCCGATAACGGCTACCGGTGTGGGAAGACAAACCTGAAAACGAGTTTCAGGAGAAATCGTACCCTGAGCAACCAGCTTTTGAAAGATGGTCCACGATTCTTTGGCAGCTTTGGCGTAGCCTAGCTCACCAAAAACAACATTCGAGGCAGCGACACCATCACGAAGACGAACCATTGGAAGGGATGAGTAGGTGCCGGGTTCCGTAGGAACCATCTCGAAGTCGGGATTGGCAAGTAAAAGATCAAGTTGGACTGAAGAAGAAACAAGTAAAATGGCCACTACTGTACAAAATAAACTCACATGTTATCCAGCCAAGACGCACTCCCACTTCTCCATCGGGCAGTCGTGTTGCTGATGAACCAAGTATTGATGCACAGGTAGAAAAAACAGATTCGACTGAATTGAGAGGCACAGAGCCACAAAGGAGGACAGAATGAGGCATTTAGGATAGTCGAATTGATAAGATTGAGCGAAAGACAAGGAGCACGATATGTTTCTTCCTTTTGCTATTTGCAGGAGACTGTTTGAAGAATAACTCAGATGATTGAGAAAAGAACGAATAATGATGTACCTCACAATTTTTCAATCTAGATTATGCGCTTTGATCATACAAGAGGAATACATATATTTATACGGAACTAATATTATGCGTCAGAAAATCGCAGACTTACTAATTCTTGAAATAAATACGTAGTTATATGAACACCGAGTTTTACGAAAAATATTTTCGATAAAATTATTTGTTATTTTCATAAACTTCATTTCTTTTCGAATTTAACTCAACGTTTGAGAAAAACGTAACAACAATGTTTTGTTTTTATTTTTTCTGAGTGGTAAGTTAAATTTGAAAAAAGTGAGATTTATGAAAATAAAAAATAATTTTGTCGAAAATAATTTTTCTACGATGCGCTGTTCATACAGTCGCCTATCTATTCTAATATGAGTACGTCATAGATCAGCTGAAGTGTCTGAAAAACCTTAAGCTAAACAACTTCGCAAGTGGAAATTAAAATAAAGGCATTTAGATAGAAGAAGCTGAGAAAAAATTGGAGCTGATAATCGGATAAACTTTCAAAGCTAATTTCATTGTGTATTGTACGCACTGTGGAAGTTAAAACTATATTTTTAAAAGTCGATAGTTGAGAAAAACGGCACAAAGCTAAAATGGTTATAACTATCAACCATAGTTATAACTATCAACCCCAGTTATAAGTATCAACCATTTTAAATTGGTTGACTTTTTTTAAATTTTTCAGTAGATTTAATTAAGTTCAAATAGTAATTATTTTGATTTAATTGATATTTTTGATAGATTAAATTATAATATTTGTATTTCATTGTTCTTTACTTCAAAAACTTATTATTTATAAATTATTCTCTGAAACCTTTTTTCATGAATTCATTCGCAAGTCACATTTTCTCGTAATTATCCGTCGCCTGTGAATGAAACAATGCATTCATAAGTGTGCAACAATTCGATTTTTCTCTGTGTTAACGGCTACGAACTGGATGTGGAAATTACAATCATTTTTATTGAACATTTATTTATCAAACATACGCAGTTTTGAATAAAAAGTATAACTTTAAAAGTTTCATAATAGAGTAACTCGGTCGAATGCTAGTATTGTTATAGCTTTCAACTAAAGTTATAACTTTCAGCCATAGTTATAATCTTGGACCTTAATTAGAAATAGTTTGGTTATAGTCATTAACCAATACAATTGTCTGTATTACTCAAGACTTTTCATGTAAAAAAATGAGGATAAAAATCATTTTAAAATCGATTAAAAGCATATGCTTGTAATCGATGTGTAATCCTCTTGCAAACAATTATAGTCAAAATGAACCGAAAAAATCAAAATTAATTGGTTATCCTGATTGATTTCGACTATAATCGATAAAAACTTGATGAAAAAAATTGATTATAATCGATGTAATCCGAAGTAAATTAGTTAGAGATTTTCTCATTTATGACAAAAAAAAAACAATTAAAATCGATGTTTTTTCTACATTTTTAATAAATTATAATCGAAATTAATTAGAAAATCAATGAAATTTGGTTTTTTCTTCGGTTATTTTTGATTATAATCATTTTTTAATTCATGAAAATCTCATTATTACCCCAATTATTTTGCATGGGTTGAGACTAATTAAAATTATTAGTCATATTCATGCCTTAAATAATGTATGCTCACACCGGGTTTCAGCAAGCCAAAATCAACTTTACCAATTTGAATAATGTAGAAGGTATTCATCTTCATCTTTCACCTCTAAGGAAACAATAGTTACACTTTCTCTTCTCTTTTCTCTTGTTGCTTTAGTTTCTTTATTCTTCCGTTTCTCTTCTCACATTTGTCAATATAATAACGAGGAAGAACGACAACAACAGAACAATATATGTACTGATAAAAGTAGTGATCGATACACAAGAATGAACTGAGAAAAACTTGATGTAATTATTTTGTGTCTAAATAAAATATACGTGATAATTCTAGCAGAGAGTGTTATCTAAATTTCTTGACAACATATACTGAAGATGATTTTCATTTTACAGAATGAAAAATAAAATATCGTAGTTTCAGTTTTTAAATACTATTCTCAGCTGCTCATATTTTAAAGATTATCATTGATCATTCAACGAAAAATATATCGTATCACATATGTATACGCACTCGCCATATAAATAAGAGAAAATGTAACTTGTAGATAAATACATGAAAAAAGGTCTCAGGAAATAATCTATAACTACTAAGTTTTTGAAGTAAAGAACAATGAAATACAAATATTATAATTTAATCTATCAAAAATATCAATTAAATCAAAATAATTACTATTTTATCTTAATTAAATCTACTGAAAAATTCAAAAGGAGTCAACCAATTTAAAATGGTTGATACTTATAACTGGATTGATAGTTATAACTATGGTTGATAGTTATGACTGAATTAACTTTTTGATTGAAAAATTGATCAGCTATAACTCGATCAGTTTTAACTCCCACGGTGATTGTACGTCAGGATAACGCTCCTTGTTCAACCTAACTCAAATTACATTCACATTATATTTTACTTTGAAATGTTCTTGAAAAAGATTACCCATATGTTTGACTGCGATCAAATTGCGACGCAATTATGCGCAACTGCGACGCAGTCGTTAAAAAAGTGGCGACATGGGTATTGATGTAAAATATACCTCCACTAGAGTAATATCAACAATATTAATATTATCTAGAAAAAAAAAGACTTACAGCATACAATATCAGAATGCAATGAATAGTACATGTATTAGTTTCACATACATGTATATGATTGTTTTAGAAATCGTTCGAGGCTAGATAAGAAAAGATAAACAATTGCAAGTACAAAATATGTTGATAAATGATACAAAAATCTGCGGATGATAAGAATCATACTATTTTATCATTCGACTTTTTAAAATTTTTGCAACGAAACTCACAGTACTTTCTGAGGAAATCGATGACTCCCATATAGAACTTTATAATCTATCTAAAATACAAAACTAGTGAATGATGTACAAAAGCAACAATGATGTGCAAGAAAAGAACACTAACTAAATAGAAAGTGATACAAAAAGAATAAGTCCAATGTGAATGTGTTAAGCAAAATAGTGTGTTCAAAAAATATGTGATATATCAAAGACCTGATCTACACTAGAAAATTTAATACCGAATTACGAAACCTTATCGATAAAAAGTTCAATCCACATTTCATGCGCTTTCGAGGGACAAATCAACTTAGTGTATCAAACAAATCGTCATTTCCGACACTATGGTAAAATCATACAATGTGTGTGCATAAACTCGCGTGAAAGAAACTTTAAAAAGGTTAAAAAAAAGACTACATAAAATAAAAAAGAATGATAGTAAGATTGACTCTTGTCTAATCGCTACCAAACAAAAAAACGCAAGATTTGCTTTTGCAAAAGTACGTTGTATTTATGCGTTTCGATTACATCAAGTAGTTCAATCTGACTTTTTATTGTTGCATTAACTATTAAGTATAGACGCGTGCTGATTTATTTCTAACTTCGTACTGCACAATTGTTTTAGTGTAGACAAGGTCAAAGTCAATAATACAATATTGTACTTACTCTCAGCCGAAAAAAAAACAGTCCAATAAACGAAACAATAGCAAATGCCCTATGATTGGTCGTTTGGTTTCCTTGGAGGGCCCAAAATAGCTTTAATCTTGGTAGATAGAGAAAATTAATCTCTATCGAACTGCGTTTTTAGTTTTTTTTAAAAGAGGCATGTCATTATAAAAAACGTCACAAAGATGAGATTGCAGCGCCCTCTTTATGATATGCATTTTTTATTGAGTTAAGTCTCGAAATTTGTACTTGGACCACAAAAATTAACACCTAGCTAGTCTCTTTATTCTACTTAGACTCGATAAATCTCGATATTAACTGAGAAAAAAGAGGCAAAATATGTGGCGCCACACAATGTGTATATTTGATATTGATTCGATGATTCGTCAGACTGAGGGTACGTACTAAATTAGTATACTGTCACAGCGAAAAGGAGTAGTGTTTTAAGCGAATAAATATCAAATGCGGTATGTGCGACATTTTCTCGCAAAAAATAAATGAGTCGAGCTTTTGATTTATACTGGTAGATAGAGACAATTTTTCTCTATCGAACTGTGTTTCTAATTTTTTCCAGAAAAGTGTCTGTATTGAGAAATAATCGATACAAATTGACTAATCAAAACACATTCACACTTATGATTTGATAATGGATCGATGACTCATCCCGATTTCTCAACATACTAAATAGAAGGAAAGAAGAAAATAAATAAATAAGCACACAAAATATTGGCTAACTTAAGTAACCAGTCGTTGTCGTCATATCGACACTACGAACGAAAGAGGGAGTCAATAGGTTTTGTTTGACAACCATCCAACTTTATAAGCAATAAGTAACTATTATTTAGTAATGAAGTTCCTAGCAGCCACAAATTAACAAGGTTCATGGCTTAGATCATCGCAAATAAATATGTTCATTGAAATATCAATTTGAAACGGACGCATGTGTGTGTGAGTTAAGCTGAGTAAGAACGGTTGAAATAAATCTCCAGAGTTACTCACCGGATAGTGAGAGAGCATTATATGGTAATGAAAATATAGCACAGTGTTCAATGATTCTGTTTCTTTCACAGTGATCAGTGGGAATACGTAGTTAAATTGTACCG